TAAGTGATTTGCCGTGGTTCATGGAAAGATTGGGAATAGTGAAAATTGCGGAATACTTTGAATCTAGAGGTATTTCACCCGATGCTGACTTGCTAAAAACACCAATGGACGAGCAAGGGTTGAAACTTAAGGCAGAGTTGAAGGATAGATGGTCTGCTCTGTTCCCAGTGAGATCTACTAGGTTACTTATCCAATATTCTATTGAAAAGCTTCCAAAGGATTCCGAAAACTTTAAAAATCTTTTGGCGCTCTGGAAACCTAGGGTCACGCCAATCATTCCACATATTCTACAACTTCTTTATCAAATCCAGGCATACCATAACCCAGAGAACTGGAAACCACTACCTCGAATCGTTCAATCATTTGTCAGGGATACAACAGTTGAGAGATTTTGGCAAATGGGTGTTTCAATCCAGTCTAGAGATGAATTTTTGGAAGAAAATGTCAAAGCGATGCACACCCTCAGAGACTTTGCAGACTCTGTTGGTCACATCGTGAGATACACTAGAGAGTATGTGTTTTTGTCCCTTGCGACGATTTCAAACCTTGATGATACATTATACACCATTCCCAACATTGCGGATATCTTCTGGAGAGCCGCTACAGGAGAGAACGTTGGAATCACTCTGCACTCATGGAAACACATGATCAGCATTATGCTGAGGCCGGTTATTAAAAATTGTCCCCCAGCACATGTTGGAAACTTTATGCGTCAGTTGTTGCCACAGATGTTCGTTACTTTGGATGAACTTCTGGTCAACAAATGGGAAAAGGTGTACATTAGTGGACTTCAATTCGATGAGGATGACGCCCAGTTGAGCCAGGAAATGATGGAGGAGCATATTTTGAGACAGGTTACACAAGTTATCACTAGACTACTTGTTGACTGTGTTGGTCAGTATGGACACAAGAGTCCACTAACGGATACCCAGTTGGAGATTAGAAGATTGATTTTCAATGATAAAAACATTTTAGCTCCATTCCTTCAACTGTTGTGCCATATTATCATGCTTAAAGATTCAAGATGCTCTTTCAACGCTATTTTGATTATTAGAGCGGTCCTGAATGACATAGTCTTGAAAGATGAAGAAGTTGACAAGTTCCTGTGTGAAAACCTTACAAAATCTATTGTGCATTGCTTAACCATTGATTTCTACCGTGAGAGTCAAGGTGAATCGGCATATGTACTCACATCACTTTACATCAACATGAAAGTCCATGGACCGTACATGCAACAGGTATTGAGAAGTTTACTACCAAATTCTCTGGATGCAGATTTTAAAGAACTCGAGCAAGGGTTAGACACTGCAAAGAACATAAGAGAACAGAGAAACTCAATGCTGCACTTCATCCAAACCGTGAAAGAGCACAGTGACGACGATGAAAGTATGAAGAGAGAAAGACTTAGACAACTTGATGCTGTTCAAAAGAAAAAGAAAGGAGATACTGACTTGATGAACGACCCTTTTCTAGAGAATGGTGCATTGGGCAATCTCTTTGGTGATAACTGACTATCTTTGTATCCATAAAGATTCCACCACGGCTGGAATAACAAAATAAAATGATAAGTAAAGCAAAAAAGTAACATTACACTATTTTTCAAAATATACAATCCATTGTTGTATTCATGTAGTAATCTTTGTTCTTTTCTTCTTCTCACAATTGTTGATTTATAGCTAGTTATATACCTGATAGGGCGTTGTTTGAACCATCACCAGACATCCTCTTGGTACTTGTTCAAAGTTCTGAAGTTCTTCAAGATCTCGTGTGCCTTTTCTGTAGAGAATCCCTTCTTTTCAGACATGATTCTACACAAAGTATCGTTGACATCCCTTGCCATTCTTGCAGCATCACCACAGACGTAGATGAAAGCACCTGCATCGATCAGCTCCATGATTTCATCCTTCAGCTCGTAAAGTTTATGTTGAACATAAACCTTTTCAGCTCCTTCTCTAGAGAAGGCACTGTGCATTTCAAAGTTCTCACCGAGGGTCTTTGCGTATTCGACCCATTCGTCTCTGTATAAGAAGTCCTCGTCCGATCTTCTACATCCGTATAGCAACACCATCTTGGCAAATGTCTTGCCTTGTTGAGCCAATGCGACTCTGTCTCTGACAAAGCCCCTGAATGGAGCAACACCTGTACCTGGACCAATCATAATCACAGGCGCAGTTGGTGAAGTTGGCAATCTGAAAGTAGAACGACGCACATGAACAGGTAACTTGTATGGCGAGAATTTGTTTCTTGGTCCTTTCAAGTCATAGGTCAAATGAGGTTTTGCTGATTCCTTGTTTTGATCAATTTCAATGTTACGCAACAAGTTCGTAGTAACACCTGTGATAAGTCTATCTTGGAACTTATCAGCCTCGACAACAGCGGTGATGTGGATTGTGGTCTTCTCAGAAAGCGACGAAGAAGAGATGGAGTAATAACGAGGTTGTAATGGAGAGATAGTTTCAATCAAAAATTCCAAAGGCAATTTCCACGTAGCACCGTCAGATAAGATGGACAACACTTCGCTCAAGTCGTATTTGTTTTCATGGATCTCTTTGGCAAAGAGATCTTTGTCCTTTGACAACTTATCACACTGTTGTTGAGCCTTCTCATTTGGAGCAAATTGTTTTAAGTTGGCCACGATTTGTCTTGAAACTGGACCAGAAATCTCTTTAAAGTGGCGGAAAACAGTCTCCACGGTTGTTGGTGAAGGGAATGGGATGTTAACGGTTGAGTCCAAGGCCTTGACCTCGATTACCTGCTCCTTATCCTCCCACAAGTTGACAATCTTCAAGAACTTTTCAACTTTCTCGTTGGCATTGGATGGCCAAACAGCCAAATGATCACCGGTTGAGTAACGCAAGTTTGTATTGGAAAGATCAAACTCAGCATGGATACATGATCTATCCTTGGAGTTGAACAATTCCTTTGAGTGGGCAATAGGAGCCAAGTAAGGATGAGCATGGTCAAATGGACCCAACGACAGGTTTGTAGATTTGTCCAAGTATGACTTATCAGGCTCTCCCAAGAACACCTCGCCATCTTCATACTCGCCTGGGTCCAAGGTGGTGATTTTCAAAGAGGCTTCAAATTTAGCATCAGACTCCGTCAAGTTCAACGAGGACTTGAGGATATCCATTGTGGCCTCTTTCCAAGCGAGGTAATCCTCGTCGAGAGTACCAGCACCATCGTCACCTTTACCGAATTCTCCAATGATTGTAGCAGAAGCGGCCTTTAAAGCGTTATCAGCCTTAACAGCAGCACCGTTGTAGAACTCATACGTGGAGTTACCCAAACCAAACAAGGTATACTTCAAATTGGACAAGTCCCCCTTGGAAAGGTTGGAGATATGATCCTCAAATGGCACGGATTGATCTGGGAAGTCACCTTCACCGTACGTGGCGATGAAAAAGGACACCACGCACTCCAAATCGTTCAAAGTGTCAAAGTCGTAATCTGCGAGATCGGCAACCATAATGTTCAGCTTGTACTTGGCCTTCAGCTCTTTGGCAAACTTGTGCGCATAGTCTTCAGCAGTACCAGTCTGGGAGCCGTAGAACACAACGTAGTTCTTGTTGTGGTCTCTCACCACCTCGGAGATGTCTCTGGAATCGCTAACCACCTTCGTACCATCATCGCCAACTCCCCAGAACACACCCTTGGTCAAGTATGCAAGCACGGCCAGGGCCAGCGCAGCCAACACCGAGTAATCCAATGTATCTAAAGCCATTCTGCTTCTCTCTTCTTATCGAAACAAACAGCAAGTCAAGAACAGACTAATTGAGAAATCAACAATTGAAAGGAAAGAAGAACAGTACTTCGTTTAAGTAAAAAAATGGTCTGAAAAAATGCCCGATCATCGTTTATGGGTGTTTCTTCCTTTTCGGTGCACGCGTGTTCTTTCCGCGGACGTGCGCCAACCGTGTCCCTGAAGCCTGTTTTTCAAACCCGCTAATCATTTCCCTTTTCAGAATAATTTTTTGTTTCTCGACACTCTTGCGCTGCCGGCCAGGCACCCTTTGTATGCTGTTATATTACTACAACGCTTGATAGATGGGGTTAATAGGGGTTTGTTTGCGCTGACTTCAGCTGAATTCGGGTATATTGCCTTGTCTTAGCAGACAGGTCAAGTGTGCGATCTCGGATGCGCCCCTTGGGTTGTGCTTCTCCAAGTAGTTGATGATGTCTTCAAAATTGGACTCACCAACGTCTATTTCACCATCCTCTTCCCCTTCTTCGTCACCCAGGTGCAGATCGTCGCATTGGTCATCGTCGTCAGCGTCATCGTGATCTTCATCCGCGTCCCCTTCACGTTCGGTGACCTCCAGCTTGTTGATGAAGTAGTCCACCTTCTCTGGGTCCATGGTGGTTCCGTCCATTAAGCACCGTAGCTTGTACCTCATGAGTTTCCTCAGTCGGGCCATCGTGGTGCTGTCGTACCAACCATCGTGGAAATCACACTCCGTTCTCAGTTTGGCGTGCGATAACAACAGACACACCTGTTCATCAACGATGTCTTCCAGCTGAAAGTGTAAACTGTGGGGTAACTCAACCCCGGTAAACTTGAATATCTTTGAAACTCCATTCGGAACTTCACTGACGAATCCCTTGGGAACTGTCTTGTTAAACCCTGGCACCCTGAAACCTTCGGTCTGATAGCGGGAAAACTCCGCAGAAGACTTTGGATCCACCCCAAACCGAATGTACGTCTGTCTCCATGGACCTTTGGTGTAGGTGTAGGAAACCTGGGGTAAGGCATATTTGAAGCATGTCTTCAAATGCACGGGCAGGTTGGCTTCCAAGTGTTTCCGAATCCATATCGGCCGTATCTCGAACAATTTACGAATTATTTCCAATGCATCCAATACATCCTTATACACCAGATTATCGGAATGCGATTGGAAGAATTCCAGCTGTTGCTTGGATTCCTCTGATGGACCCGTGGGAGGTTGATCCTCCCACTTAATAATGGAGGAATTCAACTTCAAATGTTTGTTTCTGGTTGTCAATTTACCTTCCTTCAACACCGTCGCTGCGTTCTTCTTATAATGGTAGTTGAAAGGCAGTGGTATAGATGAGAATCTAGGTGGCGGTGGTAAATCGTAGAGCCCATTTTCGTTGGGAGCCCAAGGTTTCAAATCCTCGTCCAACCCTAGGGAACAAATCTCTGTATAGTTCAAGCTGTGTATCGATTTATTGACCTTTTGTGCAAATGGTGAGTTGCTCATCTGGTATTGGAAGTCTGACATCTCTCGGAATCTAAAGGTCTTGTTGATAATGGCAACTGGTGTAATATGGATAGGCTTGGAATGGACACTGTGCAGCTGTTGTAGTGACCTCTGGACATTCCCGGCGTTGGCCTTCAACACACTTTTTGGCAGCGAGATTTTTATTAGAATCTGTTCATGAGTATTCACCTTTGCATTCACAGGGTGCTCATAGATATTGTTTGTGAATCTCAACTCCAAAGGATGTGAAGAGTCATCCTGACACGCCTTAATAATAGCACTCTCACCACCAACAAGGCCTATGGCTTTGTCAACGTTCTGAACTTTCAGAGGAAATTCAATACACGACACATGTGGGATGTCCAAGGAATGTTCCTTCGCGTACTGCTTAGACATTGCTGTATCTTCCCAGGCTGTATTGTATGAATTGATGAGTTATAAGAATCTGCGTATCTGTTTATTTGTTTACGTCTCGTCCTCCAAAACATGACAATCTGGTGGAGCAAGTGTTACCCTACCTCTTCCTCACACCACGCAGGCTTGTTTACGTAATTTTCCCCTACTGTAAACGGTTTCCAGGACAACCGTTCTCCTCCGTCGTCTGGTAACTAGAGGAACAGTCACGTGCATCGCACCACATGTAATAGCAATTTTATGGCAGAAGGATTCATAAACGAGATTATCTTTTTGAACTACACAGCAATTAGCAACTTTCAGCTCAGACACACTAGCAAAGGCATAAAAACGTTTGGTCTAATTGCACGACTTTTCTGACCATCGATCCCAATTCATTAGAGAAACTCAAATAGACAAAGACATGGTTAAAGGTAACGTCTTGGTGGTTTCGAATAGAATTCCGGTGACGTTGAAGCGTTCTCCAGATGGGGAGTACGAGTACAACATGTCATCTGGTGGTCTCGTCACTGCTCTTCAAGGTCTAAAGAAGACCTCCACGTTCCAATGGTTCGGGTGGCCCGGGTGGGAAGTGCCAGCTGACGAGCAGGAGAAAGTCACGAGAGAGTTGAACGATAAGTTCAAGGCAACACCAATTTTCCTCAGTGATGAGGTTGCAGAGTTACACTACAACGGGTTTTCGAACTCGATTCTCTGGCCGCTTTTCCACTACCATCCAGGTGAGATCAACTTTGACGAGAACGCCTGGGTGGCGTATAACGAGGCCAATGAGAAGTTTGCAGACGAGATCATCAAATATGTCAAAGATGGCGATATCGTTTGGGTTCACGACTACCACCTGATGCTACTGCCGGAATTACTGCGCAAACAAATTGAACAACGGGGCATCAAGGACGTTAAGCTTGGCTTCTTCTTACATACGCCGTTCCCATCTTCAGAGATTTATAGAGTTTTACCCGTTAGACAGGAAATACTGAGAGGTGTTCTGAGCTGTGATCTTATTGGCTTCCATACGTATGACTATGCACGTCATTTTCTCTCCTCCGTGGAGAGGGTGCTAGGCGTTGCAACAATGCCCAACGGTGTTGAATACAGGGGACGTAATGTGAACGTTGGTGCATTCCCAATTGGTATTGACGTTGATAACTTTACCGAAGGTTTGAAGAAACCCGAAGTTGTAAAGAGAATTGAACAGCTCAAGAGTAAATTTCAAGATACGAAGATCATTGTCGGTGTTGATAGACTTGACTATATCAAAGGTGTTCCACAGAAACTCCATGCACTGGAGGTTTTTCTGAATGAACATCCTGAATGGATTGGTAAAGTGGTGCTTGTACAAGTTGCTGTTCCTTCAAGAGGAGACGTTGAAGAGTATCAGGAGTTGAGAGCCACTGTCAATGAACTCGTTGGAAGAATCAACGGAACCTTTGGTACTGTTGAGTTTGTTCCAATCCACTTCATGCACAAGTCTATCCCTTTTAACGAATTGATTTCCCTTTATGCTGTTTCTGACGTTTGCCTGGTCAGCTCCACCAGGGATGGTATGAACTTGGTTTCGTATGAGTACATTGCATGTCAAGAGGAGAAACACGGTTCTTTGATATTGTCTGAATTCACTGGTGCTGCACAGTCATTGAACGGTGCAATCATTGTGAATCCGTGGAACACTGATGAATTGAGCCACGCCATCTACGAGGCACTCACCCTCCCGGAGGAGAAGAAGAAGGCCAACCATGACAAGTTGTTCCAATACATTTCAAAATACACTAGTGCCTTTTGGGGAGAAAATTTTGTCAAGGAGTTGTATAAGCTTAAGTCAAGTGCTTAAGGGTTGTTCAATTGACCACATTCACATCCATGACCAAGGTGCACACATGTACTTTCTGTAATTTCCTTGTCGGACTTTCAATTTAAGTTGGACTTTCACTTGTGCTTGTAATTGCAGATCATTGTTGCAGAAGTAATTGAAGCAAACAATTCGTCCTATAAAGAGTGTTCTAAAAGCTTTCATCCAATGTCATTGTTCTTGTATACACTGTCTTGTAGTAAACTATTGCTGATGCACTATCGTTACAACCAGGTCCACACACCCGGGCCTATTCATTCGATGCACCTGCAGTTCGAAAGAAAAGCAATTGTAACCCATTCGAGCAACTACGGTTACAACCAATCAGCTGACCAGGAAGCTGGTGGGTCTCCGCCAGTAACTTTTCTTCTATCAAAGGATTCCACTGGCCACTTCAGCTTACAGAACAGTTCTAAAGTGATCCAGATACTTTTGTATGGCATACTGATATCGCTCGCGATTTGCGTGCTGTTCTTCTCCTACTGTTCCTGTACCAGGATTATACGCTATTTACACGGCTCTCTGAGCAGAATGAAAATATGTTGGAGGGTTGCACAAGCCCGGAATGATAGCATGTTTCAGTTCTTCAAGATTGGAATCAGATGTGTTTGGTACACCGTATGGTTCATCTTGGTCGTCCTATTGTCGATATCCACGGTTAACATCTCTGCCCTGTGGTTTCTGCTGGTTATACTGGGGGTTGTCAAGTCCAAGAGAGATACACCCAGACCCAAGCCTGCTCTACCCAAGCCTCGGTGTGTCACAAGAAACGACATTGATTGCTTTTCACCAGACTATGACTCCGACTGGGCACTCGGGTTCGAATATACAAACCCAGACCACTCCTTCTGCAAGAGGTTCAAACCAAGACAAGATTCTGAGCTGTCTCGAGGTAAGGAAACCTGTTGTATATGTATTGAAGGGTACACATCTAGCCAAATGGTGTTGGAGCTACCCTGTGGGCATCGCTACCATTATGGGTGTATACTCAGCCATAGGGTGAGCAAGACGGAACAGCTCGGGTTCTACGACGACTTGAAGGAGTTTGCGTGTCTACTGTGTCGTCTGAACGTAATGAAGCACTATTTATATTACAGAGAACATGGTTGGACCGTGGATGAGGTGCCATATGAGAACAAATAGCGGCCTCCATCGTTCATGAAAATGTGCCATTTGTGCTCTTTAGAGACAGCACAGAGGTAGTGATTTTAGAGGAGCATGAATGCACACCTTGTGTGTGTCTTACTGAGATGGGACAAGACACTTGATGAGGATGTTGTACGCACCGTTGATGTCACGGTCGGCACAGAGGTTGCCCGAGGCACAGTGGAAGGTGCGGTCGTCCAGAGACAGTGTGTGCTTCATTGTTCCACAGCCGGTGCATGTTCTGCTCATGTACTCTTCAATCATTCTCGAGAGTCGTGTCCCCGTGACTTGACATTTGAAGGCCAAACGCTGGTAAAAGGCTTAGTGCGAGCTCATCATCAAGTTTCTGTTCATCCCGCGGTTCCTGCTCATGCTTACCAATTCTTGACTTTCGGATGGTGGTGGCACGATGTTTTCGTAGGATGATGTTAGATGTCTTATGATTTGCCAATGATCATCAATCACTATATTTGTGACGTTTTGTATAGTTTACGGCATTGCTTTGACTTCCCTACGGACTACATTTGGTCTATCTTCTTCTTTAACGCCATTATTTTCTCGCTGTTCAATGAGAGATCAAAGGAGTCCCCAGTTCGCTCTTCGGGGTTCACCTCAAAATGTTTCCAGTTATATCGACGTCATAATATTTCTTTCATTAACAATAGGATGTACATGGCTCCAGTAAGAGAGCTCCGAATCTTTCTTGGACACCCTCTGGGATTTTTGCCTTTATTGTTCAACCTTTTGTTCTTGGCCATTGTTTGGTGATGTTTTTAATTCTGTGTATAAAACTGTACTGGTTTTGTGTCATTTTGTGTTGATAAGAATTCCAAATGTAAACAATGCAGCGGAAATTGAAAACATCCTAACATTTTTACGATTGCTGATGCAACGAAGAACCAGAATTGCATATGTAAATGCAACACGTTGTGATTTATTTTGAAAGGGCCGTTGATCCAATCAAGCTCAAAGTCAATATATACGATGATGTGGATATGTTACTTTGCTTTCCTAGTTAGGTTTTCCAAGTTTTGTTTTGTTGCTGAGATATAAGCAAATTTATGTGTTTTTCTTGATTAAACCATACAAACCATGAATGGATATATCTCAGAGAGTATTGAAGGTGAATTGATCATACATTGTGTATCTCTTAATTAGGGTGAAAGCTATATTGTGGTATAATTTGGGGAAATTTAAACGGGGGTTGCTATTTTTATAAATATCATTCTAATTTTTGCATCTAATCATGACTATAAGAATAATCTTAATGACAATAAAATTCAGAAATATAAGAGAAGAGATTCAATTCCTAAGAACTAAGAAAGGCGAAATATAATGGTTCAACGAGCCCCTTTCAAACCATCGTAGAGAAACACTCGAATCTTGAGGACTCGTGCTTCATGCTATTTTCACATCCCAAAGAGGATGTGATCACTGCAAAGTGTTACTGGAAATCACAGCTGATGTATGTAATTCAGTTATAAATCCGGAAATCTAGTCCGATGGTCGGATATCACAGCAAAGTGGTAACGACACACGCCTTCCAGCTGCGTGGACGACGCGTGGTGAGTGGATGATCTATCACTGGCTCATGGAGAACATCTGGTCCCTTCCTGACTGAATGGTAGACAATACGAGCGAGATAATGAGCTTGTGGAATGAGCTTTAATTTTTGGGCTTGAGACACTTTTCCTGCCAGTAAATCAGTTTTGCTGTCATTTTGCTGTGCCTTTTCGTGCCCTGACCGCAGTTTCACATTTGGCGCAAAAGCCCACAAAAGGAACCGTTTTGGCCAACAATTGCAACCTCTCCCAGGTATCAAACGCGGTTATTCAGGTCTACTTTGCTCTATAAAGACACGTTTCTTCACACAAGTTGATTGCTAGCAAGTTGATTGCTGTTACTTGATAGATTCGACCATTGCACAGATGTCTTCGTCAATTGACTTACAAGAGGTTCATGATTTCCTCACGGCGTTGGCCAAAGAGTGTGGAGACATAATTAGTTCCCATAGTGGCCGGGAGACCTTTGACGACAAGAAGAACTCTGTTGATTTGGTTACAAAGATCGATAAGCAGGTCGAGACCCTTGTTAGCGAGCGTATCAGGGCCAGCTTCAGCGGGTGCAAGTTCATTGGGGAGGAGACGTACATCCCTGGAGAGACTCAGTTGTCCGATGACCCAACGTTCATTGTGGATCCAATTGACGGCACTACAAACTTCATCCATAACTTCCCTTACTCGTGTATCTCTCTGGGATTCACGTTGAACAAGGAACCCGTGGTTGGTGTGATCTATAACCCTCACCTGGACCTGCTGTTCCACGCCATCAAGGGTAAAGGTGCTTTCCTCAATGACAAGCGTCTGCCAAAGGCTCAGGATACAAAGCCTTCATTGACGCTTCAATCTTCCCTGATCGGCCTTGAATCCGGTTCAGATCGTGGTGGTGAGTTATTTGAACGTAAGTGGGATCTCATGAAGAGCCTCATGAGTCAAAACGGTGGATTTGCACATGGTTTCAGATCCCTCGGCTCTGCAGCAATGAACATTTGCCATGTTGCTACTGGCCAGCTCGACAGTTATTGGGAAGGTGGCTGTCAGATGTGGGACGTGTGTGCCGGCTGGGTGATTCTTCAGGAGACTGGTGGTATCTGTGTTGGTGGTAACAGGGCTGTCTGGAATAACACCATTGACAGTAGAGTGTATCTTTTCGTTAGAGGTGCTGACCCAGAGGAGCAAAAGAACTACGTTGAACAGTTCTGGAGTTATACCACTGGTGATTTGAATTACTAATGTACTTGTTAAATAGTCTTGAATGCCACCTGCTCCGGGAGTTGGAAAGACACACGGTACATTGGCTTTGTAGGTGCAACTTTTCTCACCAATTGGAATTGTAGAGTGTCATAGTCCAATGGATAGTCAATGATTCTACACATCCTCGTGTGAATTCTGCGCTGGATGTCCTCATCACTCGGCTCTGGTTCATCAGGGCTGAACTTCTCAAAGCAATAAACATGCACCATTGGCAGTTTAAACCCCTCCAGTCTTCTGATTTCTGGTACCGATGAATATATCCCGTTGAATTCGTTCAAGAACTCCAAGGCAGAGTCTGGAAGGTTCATGACGAAATGGTGGATGAACTTTGGCACTGGAAGGAACTGATAGATGGGCTCCTCACCGGCTTTACGCTTTTTCGAAAGATACTTGACACCACCGTTGTGTGATTTGTCGAACTGGGAGGCATAGTCCAAGCATCTCTGTATAAGCTCTCTGCCGTTAACGTTAACAGGTTCGACATAATCACCAACCTTGTTCCTTTGGATGTTGACCTTCATCCAGTGGAAACTGTCTGGGTTCAAGTCATTGCTGATGACAAAGACCCTCTTCTTACCAGCTGGCACACTGAATGGGCCGACACCAGCCATCACATCACACACGAGCTCGCCCTGCTGGAAGGTATTGACCAGCCTATCGTGCTCTGTGTGTAATCTCGAGTTCCAGTAAACCTTTGAGAAGTCGAATTGGAAGACGCAGTTGGACTCACGCTGCTCCACTATGAGGTCGTCGTCTCCAGCGAGCACTTTCATGGAGAATGTACGGTATACGGTATCGATGGACCCCACCTTATCAACAACTGTTCTGATATTGGGGTTCTTATCCAGGATGACTTGCCCTATAAGCTCGCCAAATGGCTTAAACTCGTCTCTCAGGTTCAAGTGTGCAATATGGCCAGTGATGGTGAAGCCTGAAGGCACCTCGTCCAGGAACTCCTCGGGCAGTATGGCTCCAAGGATCTCCTCTGCTTTCCAGAAGTCGTATCCTATGGTCAATGAGTACGGCTTCAATTGCACCTTGTTCTGCTGGAGGAAGCGGAATCCCTCAGCAGACAGCTTCACAGGCACCTCCTCTACAGAGTGGACCTCATCCTTCAGTAGCACACCTCTTGTGCCGTCGTCGTATTTGTTGACGTTGCGCATCTTCTTCAGCTTGAGCATGTCCTTGGAGTACAACTTGATGAACTGGCCCACCAGTTTCGGCTCGTTGAAGTGCGCCTCAACAACAGACAGCGTTCTATGGAAGAATGCTCTGTCCAATTGGGTCATAGCCCTGTTCACTGGCGGAGCTAGGTTCATTTTGCCTGTGTTTTCAACCCAATGGCTGCTTCCATTTATGTCTGATGCTGCGATGAGCTCAAAATTTTCAGTGAGGCCCCCATCACCACGGAAAATTTTTTGACCCGTGATGAGTATTCGAAGGAGTAAGGAAAGAAAGCAGTAGCAAAGAAGGCGTACAAGGGTTGGAAGATGGACGTTATCACCATTAACAAGCACACTGATCTCACGTTCAACGATAACGATGAGGTGATACATAACGCAATTGAAGGGGATATCGATGTTGACATGGAGGACAGTGACAATGCTGATGATGAAGACGGGTCGATGCAGAACAGGGCCATAGTGACGCCGGGGGAGCTGGTGACCGATGACCCTGTCTGGATGAAAGGCCACGGCACGTATTACCTCGAGAATAGAACGTATAGCTCTGTTGCGGGAACAGTGTCTCGTGTGAACAGGCTGCTCTCTGTGATTCCCATCAGGGGACGCTATCAACCGGAGACTGGTGATCATATTGTTGGTAGGATCACAGAGGTTGGCCAGAAGAGATGGAAGGTGGACATTGGTGCTAAGCAGGACGCTGTCTTGATGCTTGGGTCTGTGAATCTGCCAGGTGGTGTTCTGAGACGTAAGAACGAAGCCGATGAGCTCCAGATGAGAAACTTCCTGAAAGAGGGAGACTTGCTGAATGCTGAGGTCCAGTCCCTGTTCCAAGACGGGTCTGCCTCGTTGCACACGAGATCCTTGAAGTACGGGAAGCTGAGGGACGGTGTCTTCTTGAAGGTGCCTAGCTCCCTGGTGGTGAGATCGAAATACCACAGCCATGAATTGCCTGGTGGAGTAAGTGTCATTCTTGGTGTCAATGGCTACGTATGGTTGAGAAAGACCAGTGATCTTCAGCAGCAGCAGTCAGCTTCCCATGTGGGCAAAGATGCTGCTGCCCTGTCCACCAGGGGCAACTACTCCGTGGGCAATGCCTCCGTGACTATCACGAGACTGGAGGAAGAGTCGTCATGGGAGATCTACAGCGATGTCAATGACCAGATTTCTCAGAGCATCAGGGAAACCATAACGAGGTACGCCAATTGTATCAAGATCCTCGCCTACTGTGAGATTGGAATCACGCTCGAGCGAGTCACGGCGTGCTACGAGGCCAGCATGGCGTACGACGAGGCTGGCAAGCTCATCGACCGTGAAGTTATGGAATCAATAGGTGACGATGTCATCACTGCGGAAAAGTATAGGGGTTGATGTATTTACACGTGGTGATCTTATATACAGACGTATTGCACTTAATCGTTCTTCTTCTTCTTCATAGCCTCGATGATCTCCTCTTCTTCCTTCATCTTTTGTAGTCTCTCCTGGATACCTGGAGAGAGATACTTCTCCACAAAGGTCATCTCCTCGTCACGCTTCTTGTCGTCCTTCTTCTTTGCAACGATGCACCATGTGGTTCCCAGGTGTGTTCTCTTCTCCTCGGTGATCTCCAATCCACTATCGTCTAGCAGCTCTCCGATGTCCAGGTTCCATCTACAGCCCCATGTTTCCAGTCTCTTCTCAGCTCTGTTATCCAGCACGTTGTTGATGAAGTCGTACTCACCACGGCCGTGCTCCAGGAGCACAATACGGCCACCAGGCTTCAGCAGCTCAGCAAAGTTCTTCAGTGCTCTCACTGGGTCCTCGTGGGAACACAGGCCAAAGGCCTCGATCACGGTGTCGTACTTGATCGTCGAGTGCTTAGCAGTAACATCCACCTGCTTCTCGTCAACGTCACTCACCTGAATATCAGCACTCTTCCCTCGTGCCAAATCAACAAGGTCTTCGGCCCTACCAACGACAAACGCAGCGTTCTTGTACAGAGGGAACTTCTCCCTGAACTTCTTGTTGGCAATCTCCATCATCTTCTCACTTGAGTCCAGAAAGGTGATTGATTTGATGTGGTCCATCGCCATGAACTTGATATTACGGCCAGTACCACATGACACCTCAAGAACGTCTCCACGACAGTGTTTCATCAGCCATTTCCGTCTCTTGCCCATAAAGACCATCTTCTCTTCCCAGTCGATATCCTTATCGTACTCCTCGGCCTTGGAGTCGTAGAAGCCAGTGGTGTCCCTGGCAGGCAGGATCTTCTCGTGACAGTGGTTCAACCCTTCAACGGTGATCTCCATCCCATCAAAGTCCGTGACTCCCTTGGCCTTCAGCTTCTCGTACTCCGCGAGCTTCTTCTCGTCCCTGTAGCGGGCCTTCCCGGTGAGCTGCTTCCATCTAAGCATCTCGTACTCGTTAACTTTCCCCTGTGTATTCATCTTGCCCGTGATCTCGTCCAGCTCCTGGTCTTTCTTGTACAGTCCGCCCATGTACTTCCATCCCAGGTAGAGAAACACAGCGTACGAGCCCACGTAGTACCACGTCATCTTCTTCTGGAACTCCTTGGTGCGGAACGTCGCCCACCAGCGCACATACCACTTCGACGACCTCATATCCCTCTCCAGTTGCTCCAATTGAAGCTCCTCTTTGGTCTTGGACTTCTTGACGTGTGCTCCAGGAGCCTGGTAAAACGAAGACCTTGAGCTGTAGCGTACCAACGGCACTGTCAGTCCAACAGTGGAGCGTACGCTGGGTCTCAGCCTCAAGAAGGGACTCAGCATCTTGCTTTCAGGCTATCAGTTATTCGCTTTTGATGGCAGTGTATGAGAGTATGGGCCGGAATCTCGGTGTTTGGTGGATTTTTTTTTCACCAGCCCGCCCACTGTGTGCTTCTCTCCCCGTACACGTCTAACATCAACACGTACACGCGTCAGCCGGTGCTGCCTTCCTACAACGCGCAATACACGCCAATGGAGTTCGAATTTGTTGATTTAAACGCCGGCATGAGGTCCAGGGGGATCACGTGTACCGGTCTACGAGTTTGTTCCGTGTCGAAAGGTGAATTGGAGGTGGAATCTATGGAAAGACACGAGTTCATGGCTAAGATCAACGCTGGAGCGAGATCAAAGAGTCCTTCAATTCAGCCGTCATCTGAGTTCTTTGACGTCTGCGACGACAGGAGGGTGTCGTCAGCGTCGAGTGAGCCCTTCACGCAAATCTCAGAGCTGTGACTCGTATCTCTTTGCGTATAGTCCCAGTGCCTTTATCGGGAAGAGGAACCTATAGTTCGGGTACTCGATGGCACAGGAATGGTTGAAGACACCTTCAATATCTTCAAACTTCCATCTGCCATCTGGTTGCTGTCTCTCCATCAGCAGGCTGATGCCTCGTTGTAACACTTGTTTGTCCGGATAGTCCGCTAAGATCAGCCCTATCAACGCCCATGCTGTTTGAACAACGAGCGATCTATCGCTTTCAACGTACGAGTGTAGTTCACAGCTCTTCATGGACTCACTCCATCCACCGTCTGCTCTCTGCCTGGAAACCAGGAAATCACAACCTTTGCGAACTATATCACTGTTTGCGTAGTTCTCGCCAACTGTGTAGAGTGCCTCAAGAGCAAACATGGCTGCGTAGGTATAACAGATTCCCCAGCATCCATACCATGAGCCGTCAGGCTCCTGGACTCTCTTGATGTAATCTATGGCTCTCGATATGGCAAGACTAACGTCGTCAGAACGATACTGGGAGTGCTCCCTGAAATACGTCAGCCCAAGGACGACGGAATCTGTGCATTCAACGTACGGATACTCAACCATTATATTGGCAAACACTTCAGCTGGATTGAGCAATTCCATCAGTGGGGTGGCCTTGATCTTCTCGTACGTGGCGAAGGATCCAAACTCAAAGTGGCCAACGTTTTGTAGAGAGAGGAGCACATCAACAGCTCTGTTCAGCTTGTCATCTGTGATTAAGTCCTTCAAATGGGCAAATTTGGCACTGTTTCTAACCATGATGATGGCTTTAACAGACTCTGCAGTACAATCACTGACGGTGTATCCTTGTTCCTTGGTGCTGAATGGCCATCCACCAACCCTCTTGTCCCTGTAGCTTCCATCAACACACTCCTCAGTGAACTGAGACCTGACGAGAAACCTGTAGCTTTTCTCAACCATCGGTCTGAACTCATCCAGCTCTGCCAGCCCAGCCATGAAGAGGTACTGAACTGCAAACGCACAATCCCAGACCTGTCCACCGTTAGTTCCCATGACTGTCAGACCTTGCGAGCCATGGAAGAGGCACTCCTTCAATCTGGACATACACGACTCGAAGAGAGGCGACTTGCCTTCCTCGTGAAACACCATGACGGTGTTGAAGGCAGCGTTAACAGGCGCAATGGACAAGTCCTTTGTATTCAGCAACTCCTTCTTGACAAGGTCATACGTCAACGTCTGCAGAGATCTCAAGAGCCATGATGGTCTCCAATTCTCCCATTTGGACAGAAAGTAGTTTGCAAAGTTCAACAGCTTCGAATGTGGATAGTACAGGTCCACTCCACAGACGTCATCCCTGTGCTTTGAGAAGTCTATCGAATCATAGTCCTGTTTGTATATCTCGTCTCTTAGCTCTCTAATCAGGTCATCCTCCTCGCAGTGTACACGAGCCGCAGATAGATACCCCAAGGGTAAGTAAATGGCACGAGTATGAACCCACCATTTACCAGGATGAATCGGTAACCAATATGGCAATGCCCAAAGCTCTGGAGGGGCAGGGTTGACACCTGTCCACTTGTAGAGGTTCAGCACACTCAGCCAAGCCTTCCCCCAGTGTGGTGTTCTCAGTGCGCCTCCAAGTCTCATCAAAGTTCTACGAGCCTTCAAGCAAACAGGGTGGTCCTTTGGCAATCCCAATAGTCTCAGGACAACGTAGTTGATAGTAGTACCAAAGCATGTCGACTTATCAACAGAATGGAGGCCCCAACCTCCATCAACAGGGTGGGAGGTATTGACGATGTATCTGATCAGCTCTACCTTCTCATGCTCCGGAATCGGTGTCTTTGAGAAGTAATGAGCCACCACATAACCAACCGTCATGAACATTGGGCCTTGATACTGCATCGGGAAGATACCACTCTCATCTTGTAAGTAGCTGAAGAACGTGGCACCGTTCTTCGCAGCTGTGAACGCAGATTGGGAGTCATTTGGCAGGTCAGGTGGATTGAAGTCTTCAACCTCGAGGGCGTACTTGACAAAGGCCGACTGTTCTCTCTCGTTTACATCTTCATCATCACCAGTGAGATACTCCCATGTAGTAGCACCAAGTTCAGTGGTGTTCAATCGCCAGCGAGTAGGGTCCGTCTTTGGTAGTCCGAGTACCTCGGAGTAGAGTGGTTGCTCAGCCATATCCATTGGGTCAGTCACTCGCAGTCAATGAGCTTTATGAAGGAAACAATGGGTTGTCAGAGCCGTGATATAACGCTCTTCGTTTAGCACTTTACGGTTATTAGTTTGCGCAAAATCGGCGAAACCTGTTCCTTCCTAATCCGGTAATTTGCGTAGACTTGCTCCTGCACCTCTCAATTTGCGCAGTTTTTCTTGCGAAATGTCCCGTTTGGGACTTTGTATAGTGAGCCACCTCCGCAACACTCGTCTCATCTCAAGTAACTGGAGAAACCCCCTTTTCTCGCCATTACACTGCTTGAATTCTTCAATTCGCATCGGCTCTTACCCCTTTGATACCTTCCAATTGAGCTCGTACACCATACAATGACTGAGAGAGACGTCTTGCCATCCACTTTCAAGCCAATCCGTTACGACCTGGAAGTGTCGCAGATCGATGTTAAGGCAAACACCTTCCACGGTGATGTCAAGGTTCAATTGGACGTTAAGGAAACCACAGATCAGCTCGTTCTGCATGCCTCCAAGCTGACTTTCAACACCTACAAGCTGACGTACACGTTGAACAAGACTGAAGCCGAGGTCAGCATCAATGGTGTCACGGTGGATGAAAAGCACGAGACAGCTACGTTCTCGCTTGGTGAGAAGGTCCCAGCAGGTGCAAAGGCGTTGTTGGAAATTGAGTACACTGCTGAGATCAAGACAAATATGAATGGATTTTACCGTTCTGACTATTTGGATAAGGACGGTAAGGAGCAGGTGATGTTGTCCACGCAGTTCGAGGCGACAGAAGCCCGTGGTGCGCTCCCATGTTGGGATGAGCCAAACCTCAAGGCTACATTTCAGCTCTCAATTTCCGTTGCTGAGGACTTCACTGCTCTGAGTAACACCCCGGTGATCTCTTCGAAAGTGCTTGGTGATGGTAAGAAGAAAGGTGCCGTTGAGGCTTCTGGCTTGAAGGTTGTCAAGTTCCAAGAGACCCCGATTATGAGCACTTATCTCTTTGCCTGGGCTGTGGGTAAGATGGACTACATTGAAACCCTTACTGAAAAGTCCTACAACGGTAAGAAGCTACCAGTGCGTATCTACACCCAGCAGGGAATCTCATCTCAAGGTGAATTTGCGCTCTCCGTGGCTGCAAAAGTGGTTGATCTGTTCTCAGATGTATTCAAGATTGACTATGTCTTGCCAAAGTTGGACCTCATCTCAGTGCCATCGTACTCGCACAATGCCATGGAGAATTGGGGATTGGTTACCTTTAGACCAACAGCGTTGTTGTTTGATGAGAAGACAAGTGCAAAGAAGTACCAGAAAAAGGTTGCCTATGTCGTTGCTCATGAATTGGCACATCAATGGTTTGGCAATTTGGTCACCATGGACTGGTGGGATGAGCTATGGCTCAACGAGGGTTTCGCCACTTGGGTTGGCTCATATGCTTTGGATAAGCTCTTCCCACAGTGGAAGGTGTTTGACGTTTGTATAACTGAAGACTTGCAAACTGCCTTGACTGCCGATGCTTCCAGAGGATCTCACCCAGTTGAGGTTCCGATTCAAAGTTCTGCAGACATTGACCAAGTCTTTGACCACATTTCTTACTTGAAAGGTGGTAGTGTCATCAACCAGCTCGCCAATACCATTGGTGTGGAAGACTTTCTCTCTGGTGTGGCACATTACTTGAGCGAACACAAGTTTGGTAATGCTAAAACTAAAGACTTGTGGGCCTCCATCTCTGAGGTTAGTGGTGTTGATGTTGTCACTATGGCCAATAATTGGATCTCAAAGATCGGGTTCCCATATGTCTCTGTGGAGACCATTGGTGATGAGGTCAAATTCACTCAACACAGATTCTTAGCTTCCGGTGATGTCAAGGACTCTGAAGATGAAACCATTTGGTGGATTCCTTTGAACCTATCCACGGGGCTTGGTGATGATGATGTGGTTCGCCAGACTTTGACTGAACGTTCTATCTCAATTCCAAAGATTGATGGATTCTTTAAAGTCAATAAGAACTCCACTGGATTTTACCGTGTTGTCTATGACAAGACGACTTTGGACGCCATTAAGAACAACCTGGATAAGCTATCACCAACTGATAAGGTTGGACTGGTTAGTGATTTGACCTTCACCGCAGCTGCTGGGTTGACAAAGACATCAGATGCTCTTGAATTTATAAAACTGTTGAAAGGAGAATCTGAAGCCGTTGTTTGGGATGCGATTTTAAAATCACTTGGCTCAATATCCCAAGTCTGGTATGAACAACCAAAAGATATTCAAGATGCCCTAAACAAGTTTATTCAGAGTATCATTTCACCAAGTGCACTGAGTTTGGACTTTGACACCACTCCTGAGGATTTCCTAGTTGCGGATTTGAAAGTGAAGCTGCTGGCGAGTGCTGTCGGTGCTGGGATAACAGAGATCATTTCGCCTGCACAGTCTGTCTTTGCCAAGTATCAACAAGGTGAGCCCGTCGACCCTTCATTGAGAGGTGTGATTTTCCAATCCATTGTCTCTCCAAAGGACGCCACTGAGGAGGATTGGGACTCCGTATACAATATCATCAGATCCAGCGATGCCCTCGATACTCGTGAGATCGTGCTAGCTTCTCTGGGCACTGCAACAAACGATGCGTTGATCGACAAGTCGCTTGACCTTATCCTATCTCCCGAAGTTCCAATCATGGATGTCCAGTTCGTTGCTGTTGCCTTGTCCAAGAACAACGCTGCGCGTGACAAACTCTGGGCCTACTTGAAGGATAACTATGATGCCATCTATGAAAGACTGAACGCAAACAGGGTCGTTTTCGACAGATTCGTCAAGTTTACACTGGGCTCATTTGCCAGTTTGGAGAAGAGCGATGAGATCAAGAAGTTCTTTGAAGGAAAGGACATCTACGGCTTCGAAAGATCGCTCGACCAGGTCACCGACAGTATCAAGACCAACGCGAATTGGGTCGCCAGGGACAGCGAGGATATCGCCAAATGGCTGCAATAGGCCTATGACGCTAGTATTTCTACTCTAAACGTATATTTAAGAGAGTGCTCTCTGTAGCCAATGATGTAAGCTGCGTATGAGCCCTGTAAAACATCCGCACACCAGACAATTTTAGGGGGGTTGAAAAAACCACAAAAAGCTCCAACAGCAAAAGCTCCTACAACAACAACAACAACAACACAGCTTGAAGAGGATCGAAGCAAAGCAATGTCCGTTTCGTTTGGAAGAACTATCAAGAACATATGGAAGTCCGGCTGGGCGCGCTACGCCAAACAGATGAACACCATCGGTGACGCCCGTGCTGGTACCCTAGTTGGTGTTGATGACTATGGTAACGAGTACTACGAATCTCATGACCCTGTTGATATCCATCTGAGATCCAGATGGGTTGAGTATAAAGATACCAAATTCTACGATGTTTCTCAGTTGGAGCCTGGCTGGCACTACTGGTTGGGCTATGGTACCAACACGCCTCCAAACAAGCTTGAAGGGGAGGAGAAGACGGAAAGGGCATACACACCACCGGCGGTGCATGCTACAAATTTAACAGGAACCACTGGGTGCTACGTGCCATACAACACTGCAAAGCCGAAGTTTGAGCAGTGGGAGCCAAAGGTTGCCGAGAGAGCCCAAGCCTAGGGCCTATTTATTTATTTTACCCTTTTCAAAGACATATTTATTTCCCTATTTATTATAAACAACATTAAATCTATACCTTCTGTGTGTGTATATATATAGTCTACTTGCCACTGGCAAAAGTAGCTGCCACTATCAATGGGAAGACGACTGTAGCATCACAATAGATCTTGGTAGAGTGGGCTTCAGCTTTGATCTTACCCCAGCTCACAGCTTCATCTGGTCTTGCACCGGCATCTGACCCGTCAAATTCTTGACCTGTGTTGATAAACACGGCATAATCTGCACCGTTTCTCATGAGACAGGCGTTACAGATGTGGTGTTTGATCAATCCACCACCAAGGAGGATCATACCGGCGCGAGAAGCAGCCATGGACATCGAGTTGATCTTACGGATGTCAGCAACGATGTCCAAACGCAGCTGTTGAGGAGATGCCTTGAAAGTGTGGAAGAAGAGCATATCACCGATGGAACCGTCTGTGATAGCAGGACAGAACACTGGGATATCATTCTTGTAGGCCCAGTAAAGCACTGAAGACTCATCGTTGATCTCTTTACCCAATCTTCTGATCAGGTCAGATGGTGACAGAACAGCTGGAGAACCTGCATCCAAACATTCAGCACCGAGCTTTGTCGCAGCCTGTGTCTGCTCCTCTAACAGTGTATCCAAGATTGGCACTATCCACTCTTCAAACTTACAATAGTTGTCGTTTGGAACCAACAGATTACCGATACGGTTCATACCCTCGTCTCTCAACTTTTTACCTTGAAGGCTGAATTCACCCATATAAGTTGGCGCAAGGCACTTGATGAGGTCCTCCTCGATACCACCTGCGGTAGCGACGATGGCACTCACGTGCTTGTTTTGGACGAGGAATCTTAGTGTGTCTCTCAACCCAGAAGAGATCAGGTTAGAGGTGTAACCCATAAACACCGTGGTTCTCTGGTAGCCTTCTTCGTCAAATTCACCCGTCTGCTTGTGCTCCTCCAGCTCATCCTTGTGCTTACCTCTCCACTTTCTCATCTCGTCAATGATCTCACAACCTTTAGCCACGGACGAAGCCTGGAATCCCATGGTCTTCATACCATTGATGAGGTCTACTGCACGCATGTTCGTAGCCTCAGGCTTGGAGTAGTCAATTCCCTTCACCTCGACAAATGAGTCAGGAACCGGAACAGATGCCTTAAGCACTGCATCGGAGAGGATCTCTGGAAGCTCGGAATTCTGTTTGGACATTGGTTGATGCTTTCCCCTTTCAACAATGGTGAGCTGAGTGATGAGACTAGGCCAAAAAAAATTTTCTCCCTATGTCTCGTTCCTCTATACGGAGCATCTCCAGAGGGAAGAAAACCGAGATGGTGAACGGGACTAGAATCAGCGTTACAATGGAACAATAATCACCCACGGGTGCTGTCTCTAGGCCAATTGACAGAGAATGCCAGTGCGTGCTTGTGCTCACGTGCGAACTGGTGGACGGGCTTGCCTTCATCGTGGACTCAAGCATCTGGAACTGTAGCAATGGCTCCACGGTTCTCATCGTCCGAGCCGGGCTATGGATTAGTACCCTAGCCCCAGCATGGAATGCTCACAATAGTCACCTTTACAACCACGCCATTGTATCAGCTTCCAACAATCAGGGCATCCCAGCTACGTTGGAGGTGTACGTGATACTCGGCACAAGTGACACACAATTTCTAGTAGAATTATCACACAATGGTGTTGGTATATCACCCATCACCCTAGGCCGGAGATGTGGCTCGAAATAGATAAGCGAGCCCACCAGGCCAGGCGCCCCCCCCCCGGCTAATCTCCGTGCTGGCTCGGGGCGGGGGGAGGGGCAGGTGAGCTCCCCATATATAAGCACCTTGTAGTCCTTTAGATATTGCTCTTCCATTCCACCACCCTTTTAATACACGATATCACTATCTCAGTACTTTTCTAGCAATCTGCCATGGAAAGGGAACTGAATTTCGATAAAGCTGAACTGGCCATGCGTCAGGCGTTCGACCTCTTCCAACTGGGAGCATCTATGCTTAAGAAGGAGGACAACTCATCTTCAGCAGGCAAGACCAGCTCTTCCGCAGCGGTGCGTTCCAAGAAGAAGGTGTCCTCCAAGAAAAAGGCCTCTAGAAACACTGTCTTTGACGATGAACAAACTACACCTGATGACGATAGCGAGGATGAACTGGCTGGCGATGACAACCTCTACAGAAGCAGTAAGGTGATGAAGAAAACCGGTTCTTTTACGAATGAAGATTACTACCTGGGTTATTCACACAGGTATATCGACTTCACTGCAGGAAACCCCACAACGTATCACGTTGTGGAGCACTTTTCGAAGCTTTTGGAATCAAAGGGGTTTACCTATCTCTCTGAAAAGGAAGATTGGGGTGAATTGACACCTGGCTTGTACTATACCGTTAGAAATGGTACCAACCTAGGTGCATTTGTCCTTGGTGAAGGGTGGAAACCTGAGTTCGGATCAGGTATTGTGGGTGCCCATGTCGATGCTTTGGCTGCAAAGCTGAAGCCTGTTTCCAAAAAGTCCAAAGTTGACGGTTATGAACTGCTAGGTGTGGCACCGTATGCCGGTGCCCTCTCGCCTGTTTGGTTCGATAGAGACTTGGGTATCGCTGGTAGAGTCCTTGTCAAAGTTAAAGATCCAAAATCACCTGTTGGCTACAATATTGTATCCAAATTGGTCGACTCTTCCCCAAAGCCAATTGCAAGAATCTCTACTCTGGCTCCTCACTTTGGTGCGGTGTCAAATCCACCTTATGATACAGAGGAAAAGGCAATTCCTGTCATTGCATTCTCGCCAGGTCCAGATGCGCCTCCTTCAGAGGCAGAAAAGAGTGCACCATTGTATGGTAAGCATTCTCTGGAATTGTTGAGATACATTGCGTCATTGGCTAAGGTGGAGGTGCAAGATCTTGCCATCCTGGACTTGGACTTGTTCGACGTTCAAAGGGGAACCCTAAGTGGTATTAAGGATGACTTTCTCATTGCCCCAAGAATTGATGACAGATTGTGCTCGTTTGCTGCACTTCATGCTCTGTTGGAGTTTGCCGAAAAGCCAATCCCTAAGGGTCTATTCAACCAAGTACTACTCTACGATAATGAAGAGATTGGTTCCTTAACGAGACAAGGTGCTAAATCCAATTTGATCACAAGCATTACTCAAAGAGTCATCGCTTCAACCCAGGACATTGCAGATGGCCAAAGTGTTGATACGTTGTCGAAGATCTCATTTGCTAACTCGATTATTTTGTCAGCTGATGTTACACATCTGTTGAACCCTACTTATAAGAGTGAATACCTTGAGAACCACTTCCCATTGCCAAACATTGGTGTTACTGTTGCGCTTGATCCGAATGGCCATATGGCTACAGATTCTGTTGGTTGGTCCCTTGTTGAGGAGCTAGCAAAGATAAACGATGATAAAATCCAATATTTCCAGATTAAGAACAATGCAAGATCTGGAGGTACTATTGGACCTTCAATTTCTTC